ATTAAAAATATCCTAATTAGTGCACCGTCACAATTTTTGTTGGAGAGGGTCCCCCAACCTCCTAGGCACATATTCCAAGTGGAATCGAGTCGGTTGATGCATGCGTGTCCGTGCACCCCCACCGCATTCACGGAAGTTACACAAAATGAATCTTGAAAATTTTATTAAAAATCCGCTAATTGGCGCACCGTCACAATTTTTGTTAGGGAGGGTCCCCCAACCCCTCAGTAACATTCCAAGCGGAATGAAGTCGGTTGGTGCATGCGTGTCCCTGCACCCCCACCGCATTCCCCGGAAGTTACACAAAATGAATCTTGAAAATTTTATTAAAAATCCGCTAATTGGCGCACCGTCACAATTTTTGTTAGGGAGGGTCCCCCAACCCCTCAGTAACATTCCAAGCGGAATGAAGTCGGTTGGTGCATGCGTGTCCCTGCACCCCCACCGCATTCCCCGGAAGTTACACAAAATGAATCTTGAAAATTTTATTAAAAATCCGCTAATTGGCGCACCGTCACAATTTTTGTTAGGGAGGGTCCCCCAACCCCTCAGTAACATTCCAAGCGGAATGAAGTCGGTTGGTGCATGCGTGTCCCTGCACCCCCACCGCATTCCCCGGAAGTTACACAAAATGAATCTTTAAAAATTAATTAAAAATCCCCTAATTAGCGCACCGCGATAATTATTGTTGGGGAGGGTCCCCCAACCCCCTAGCTACATATTCCAAACGGAATGGGGTTGGTTGGTGCATGCGTGTCCGTGCATCACCATTTTGTTCACCGGAAGTTGGGAGAAATGAATCTTAAAAAATTAATTAAAAATACCCTAATAGGTGCACCGCGATAATTTTTGTTGGACAGGGTCCCCTGACCCCTTAGGGACACATTAAAAATAAAATGACATCGATTGGTGTATGCGTTTATTGCACTCCTATTGACCGCGTAAAAACTTATAAAAATAAAAAAAATATCATGAAATTCCTCCTCGAGAAATCATTCCCCACCCTCGTCATACATTAAGAAATAATAATAACAAAAAAAAAATTGTTCGATTGTTTTTTATCATTTAATTTGTCTGGGAGGAGGTTTAAACTCGTGGCTACCGATGTAGCGTTGAGCGAGCGGCTACGGTGGGGGCCGTACAGTCCGCCTCACAAACTATACCCATCTCCCGCTGAACTGCTCCCGCCAGCTTCAGCCTCATTCATGCCATAGGAAGATATTAACATCTCACTTTTCTAAACAAGTTTGAGATCAAATTCCAGGACAATGTTTTTGTCAACAGAAGAATTCCCAAAAATTTAGGTAGGGGAGGGTGGGGTAAAATGGACACTTTAAACTTTTTTTCAATTGTTCATAACTCAGAAACAAATTTATCAATTGAGCTCAGTTTAGGCTCGTCACAAAGGGAAATAATTGTTCTTTGTATTGAAAAAAAAAAATTATTGAATTTCATCAACATTTCAATCGCTTATTAACATTTTAAAAAAAGTCAAAAGTGTTCGTTTTACTCCAACCTCCACTACTTGGAGACAACAAGCTTCAAATTTTAAAATTCCACAAAGTTGTCGTAATTCCCTGACTTTTCCAGACCAATTAAATTCCCTGACAATACCTGGTTTTCCAGATTTCCTTGACTACTGGAGACCCTGAATAACGCAAAAAGTAACGGTTACATGCCTTCTGTCGCTTAGACTCGAACCCCTTCTTGTTTGCTTTACCTTACAACTCCTAGGACGTTGTCTTATGACAATGCATCTGTTTTTATAATCTTTAAGTGAAGTCAGAACAGTAGATTGGATCCAATTCAACTCATTATTTAAATCAGGTGTCCACATTGCCCCACCATCCCCTACATTGACAAATCTTACTGCTCAATTTAATGCTACTTACTGTAACAACATGAGGTGGTACACCGCTGACCCAGTGTGTTATGATATCACTGGGCAAAAAATGTCTACTGCAGACATAAGTGTCATCACTAACAGTATAGTTCTCAATAGCAATTGCCTCCTGCCACTTTTTTCTAGTCTCTTGATCCTTTGGAGCTGAGAAAAAACTGTAGGAATTTTTGTAGTTTGTCTCTTTACACAGCACACACTTTCGTGTCATTTCCGCAGCTTGGGATATTTATTACAAAACAAAATCCAGTTTCTCTTTCATTTGTCACTTGTTGCGGAAATTTAACTCCTAATCTCTAGGTTATATTGACGATGTTCGTTTTTATCCAAGAATAATAATAAAAAATCACAAACTCTAGATGAGTGTAGTATACCAATTCGATAATTTCTTTTCAAGCCTCTGAATTGCTCTTAATTCTCAATTGCTCGTAATAACAGGATACATTAATCAATGCTACTGTTATCCACGACGAACAGAAAAAAAAACATAAATAGATCGAAGATGTAAGGTATATTGTGAAAATAGTGAGAAGGTGGACGCTGAAGCTCAGATAATTGTACTGAGATTTGAGGTTACAGTCAGTTACAGTTACTCGTCTTTCATCGTCTTTTGTCGTCTTTGGTTCTCGTTTCACCACTTTCACAGGGGAATTCAGGAGCCCTGATTGGTCGGACTCCCATAACCCACATTTTCCCTTCCGAAAAAAATGTGTCTGGAAGATTATTCCAAGCAGAGCTTATTATTTGAGTAGTTATACAAAGAATAAGTGGATTGTTATTTTGTGATTGAGGACTAATTATTGAAAAGGTATGTTCATCATATTTCCTTTACTGTTATTATCTTGATTAAATATTATGATATTACACTGCAATGAAGTCTGGTGACTCATTTAGAGAAGAAATGGCATCGATTTTTCCGATTATTCGTCGAGGAATTTCGACAACAGCCGTTGCTAGCGGTAAGAAGAATTTCCGAAAGTTCAATCTTTATAATAAGAGAGGTACGAGGGAGTTTAAGGAACGGCAGAGGCACAATCCTGATCCTGATATTCCCATTCATGGTGAGTTAACCTAGTAGTACACTAATGTCCAATGGAATGAGATAGGGGACGATGGGGTAAAATGAACACTTTACTTTTTTTCAAATGCTAATGACTTATTGAATTGTTGATGAAATAGAATCTTTTTTTTTCAATGAAAAGTACAATTCTTCCCCCTTGTGATGAGCCTACACTTCCTTCAATTGACAGATATATTTATGAGTTATCAATATTTCTTTAAAAATCAAAAGTGGCCATTTTATCCCACCCTCTCCTATATTTTTTAAATAGGATCAAATTGGCCGAATAAACGAAAAAATATTATAATTGTGACACATTGCCTTCTATACCTTCGTATAACCAAGCCAAGAATGGAACAAAAGAAATACGTCACGATAATTGCTTTGTTGCTTTCGAATGGAAGTATTGTAATCGTTCAAATTTAAGTTTTGGATTTTTCATGTTTTATCGACCCATTATGATCCAAAAAGTTCGAAAATGCAATTTTTCCACCATGTCCGTACGTATGTATGTATGTGCGGGCATATGTAAACAAATTTTTTTTCGATTGTTCGCTAATGAACCGATGGAATTAAATCTTCCGTTCCTCAAATGCAAATGTATTGTTGAGCCTTATCAATCGCCATTAATTAAAATGTAATTCATTTATTAATTGTTTAAATTTTTATAATTTAAAAAAAAAATTTTTTTTACGATTACTAAAAAAATGTTCTGAATTGATGGAGTGATGGCTTAAAAAAATTATTTGGATGTCCTTTTGACCGAGTTCGCAGAATCAAGGTGATAGCAATAATCGTTATTTTGATTTATTTGAAAATTTGCAAAAATTCTGTATTTTTTGAAAATCAGCATTCCGGGGATATGTTTGAATATTATGCTTCAAATGAATTCAATCATTGCGTGAAATTTTTGTTTTAATGCCATTAAGGCGAAGTTAAAAGATGATTATGATAGCTACATTGGTTGATTTGATTTTTACGATGATTGTTGAAAATTTCGAATTTTTCATGAATTTTCCTGAAACTGAGCTTTCTGATGGTGTCTTCGAATGTAATATTTCAAATTCATTCAATTATGTATGAATAACATTGTTCTGTTAACATTTTATCAAAGGGTTGAGGGGAGCGATAGAACTGCAACAAAGATAATTGTTTGTATAGAAGAAAGGGATAATAAGAATAATGATGATAACATTCAACAAAGTTGAAAATCCGACAAAATTAGTTAAAAAGAAATCTTATTCAATTTAATAAAATGAAATAGACATTGATCTATACATGATAGTAGAAAATGATGTGCAAAATAACCATTCGGAAGCATATTGCTAATTTATTAGCAGAAATAACTACCCTATATTGAATACAAGAGCAATTTCCCACTTGTTTCATCTAATTTTCCTCTCGAGTCTTCATCTAAAGACTCACTATATTGACTAGCAGTTAGCTTTGACATATCGTCACTGACATATCGATCAGAGTGCCAAATTATTTTGAAATGAGGAGATTACCTCAAAATAAGAACTGAGGATTGAAAAAAAATTTCAGATCGTGGAACGAGAAAAATCGGTTTCAAAGAGGGAGCGCACTTTGTAGTAGTTCCTGAAATGGTTCCAGAATTAATAGTACCGAATTTGGAAGATTGTCAATTGAAACCTTACGTCTCATACCGCTCTACACGTGTAGTCCAATCGGCATTCACACCTAAGGACCTCTTCGATGCAATCTACGCCAAGAAAATAACTAGTGATTTCAGAGAAGGTAAATTGGACGAGACCGGCAATCCTCTAGAACCAAGTGAATTCGAATCGCTCTCACCACAGCAAGCACTAGATCTCGCTAGCAAGACTGGCAGCGATCTTTTTGCACAAGAGAAACCTCCAGAGCTTTTAGAGGAAGTTAAATAAGAGCTACATCAAATTTCATATTGATTTCTTCCTTCATTTATTGTCGTAGAACGTGATTATGTAAATATCTCACATGTATATGTTTAAACAATAAATATGCGACTAAAATTAGTGGACCTAGAACTCAGAACCTCGCTGATCCGGAGTTGACTAAAAAAAAAACTTCGTTAATTCGCATTCCTAAAATTTAATTTGTATATTTCTTTAGCTACTTGCCTTTACTGATGAGTTCTACGTGCACCGGTGTTATGACATACTTTTTCTCATATATTCTGATCCTGTTTGAAAGATTACTCACTTCTAATTACAATGCTCTAACATTATGGTGACCATTTTGATGATTTACAGATTATGAAGTAAAAGAAGAAAGTAAATGAAACTATTAATTTTGAGTTATTCTTTGTAATAAACGTGTAGAGTCAGAACAATATGAAACTTTAAAGCAAGGATTTGATGTCTAAATGCGTCTCTTGTTTTCTTTAGCCACACTTGAACTTTAATCAAGACCAACATGGCAAACCACAGCAAGCTCATATAACCACAGACGGTCATTTTAATACTTAGCAATCTACTGCTCGTTGGAGCCTCACAATTCAGCCCGAGAGGGGGAACGAGAGAGGGAACTTGAATTCGCGATCTTCTGCATATTGACAAAATGGGATGTTTTGCATTGAAGCCTTGTCTACGGAAATTGTCATTTGCACATTCTAGTTGCACGATATACATTTTTAATTCTAATAAATTGTAATGTGCCATTTCCATTATACGTTGTACAATCGGAATTCTACATTGTAGGATTCAAACGTGTGAATGTTAACATATGAAAAAATCCTATGGAGAATTCAAACATTTTCTATAGAATTTTCCAGATGGAATTTCCTACAGGATTCCTTATCAGGTTTTTCCTATTGTATTTCTTATAGGATGTCCTATATGATTGCCTATAGGATTTCATATGAGATTTTCAACAGGATTCACCTAAAAAAAGTAGTGCTTTAAGGCCCGGGTGTACTATCTTTCGAACGTGATCTCGATGTTTTTTTTTTCATCTTTCGTCATCTGAAATTGTCAATTGAGTCCTGCATCATGCAGAAGTTTTGAAAAATGATGAATGAATAATTAAAAAAAAGTAGAAGAAATTCTTAATTTTTTCAAAGAGCATTTTTAATTTATATTCAGAATAAGTTGAATAACAAGAAATTGAAAAATGTATCTGATTTACGGTGACAAATGGCGGCCTGTCACCCAATATCATGCAGGGGAAGCACTGATTTCGTAAATCTTTTCCCACACTGCACAAAGACTTTTATTACGGAAAAGGCTCTTTGAAAAAAGTTGTAATATTTTGGAGAATTTTTCAATCACACTTTTATCACACAAAAATGGCAGATGACTACATACCACTGTTTTGAAAATTGAGATACTTAGCTGTCACTTCCCATGAGGAGTTAATGTTTTGTTATCCACCATGGAAAATGACAGCTAATAGATAATTTGCCACAGCGAATCAGATATTTGTAATTTCCACTTTTTTCAACTCATTCTGAATCTCAATTAAAAACGCTCTTTGAAAAAGTTCAGAATTTTTTCTATTTTTTTTATCATTCTATCATAATTTTTGGGAATTTCTACATGGTATACCACTCAATTGACAATTTTGGATTACGAAAGATAAAAAAAATCCAGATAACATTCGAAAGATTGTACACTTGGGCCTTAAGTCGACGTCGGCTTGATTCTAACCGATTTTAGACTTGATTCAAGTCGAGTGATAAGTCGAAAAGTGGTTTATTTCAAGTAGAAACGTGTCAAGCCGAAATCGGTCTGAATCAAGTCGATATTCCGGATTACATCTGTTCGAGTCCGACTTGATTCATGCCGTCAATTCGACATGAAACAAGTCGATTCCCGGCATGATTTAGCCCGTCGTGATTCAGGCCGACTTTTTTTGGGCGTTTTCTATAAAATTTAGGAGTATAAGAGTTACAATGAGGGTCAAAAGTCTCATATGGGGATCATGTGGGGGTCATAGATGGGTCATAAAGAATCATTTTAGAGTTTTATCCCATGATATATCATGGGATATGTTAAAAAGTGGAAAAAATCATGACTCCACCGATTTTGCCCCATACATCCCCGAAAAATGACGTTTTTCATGTTTTCAGCTACAAAAGTTTCCTCGTACCACAGTTTTCATCCGATTTACATTTTTGTTTTTTTGAAATGCTCGTAAGACTCCCAGGAACAAACGTAAGTATCCGTTTTACGATCCGTCAATTAGAGAATTGAAAAATCGAGAAAAATGAAAACAAAATTCGAAAAATTTTTTTTTGTTCATAGCATCCGTATTATGCTATGAACAGAAAGCAGTCTATCAGCTGATGAAAAGAAGGCTAATATGGGGGTGATATAGGGGTCACATCAGGGTTATATAGGGGTTATATAGGGATGAGGGTTATGAAGGTCATTTGATCCTCCTATGACCTCTGTATGACCTCCACATGTCCCATCTGACCCTCATATGGCCCTTATGTAACCCACATATGACCCTTATATGACTCGCACATGGCCCTCATATGACCATTCATAACCTTCATATGACCCTCACACGACCTCTATATGATCCTTATATGTGACGTCAACATGAAAAGAGGCCACTTTATCGATTCTAGTTTCCGAGATATTGACGTTTTTGTGTCAGCAACTCCCATTTGCACCAATGTTGTAAATTGTTTTTTCCATCTTCTCCAACGACCTCATTTTTGACCCCATGAAGATCATTTTGGGCTCAATATGTGCGGAATGTTATCAATATTATCAGAGTATACATAACATCATATCGACAAAGTGGTCCCTTCTCATGCGGACGTCCACATAGGACGCCCATATGACTCTTTTTACCCTCATTCTGACCCTTATAACCCTAAATTTCATAGGAAATCCTATTGAAAATCTTATAGGATGTTTTCATTTGTGTATGAAATGTATAATTCAAGAAAATATGTATAATTCAAGAAAAACACGAAATTCATAAAACTCGGTACTGGATTGGTGGATTTTGTTGTTCTTGAATTCTACATGCACAATACCTGCCGAATTGCATACAATAAATTGGACATTCAAAAGTTTACATTCTACAATGTGAAATTCAGATAGCACGATGTGTAACTGAGTTTGTCCATTTTAAATTCGTAGGATTAAGATCTTAAGTCATTCTGCGGAGAAAATATTGTATCAGTGTAGAAATTTTCCAAGAGAATAGGCCAAAATCCGCTGAAAGCCTTAACTTGTTCGAAATAGTAGAATATTCGTTGATTTACTAATTTTTTATAAAATTTGCAAGCATTTATCGAGATTTTTTTCAATGTTCCATGTTCTTTACTTCTACGTATATTTACACTAAAAAAATCGAGAAAGTTGATTTATTTTCTTATTCCACTTCAATTCACGTTTATTAGTCTTACTTTCGACAATCGAAATCATAAGCCAACTTCAATCAATCGGTAGTTCCCGCCGAATTGTCAGTTTCAAAACTCAATTTCCCATGCAATTTTTCGTGATTTTTCTCCCATTCAATATTGATATGATAATAACCCTCCGTCGAACAACAAAGGATTCCCATTGCTTTTTTCAATCCTAAAAAATATCGAACTATGCTATTGACTATATCACATATAATCTTCATTCCCAATTGATGAAAATTCCTCCAACAATATGTCTCTTTCACGTTTTGAATTTCACCTCCTTTTGTTAAATGACAATTTCGTATATTTTTTATAGCACGTTTGCGATGATTTTAGAGTGATCTTTTCCAATGGACGATCAAGTAGTCAATAAGGATCACCTACTAATCATACTAATGAAAATTTATCGTCCTAAGAAGGCATTTTTTTCATATTTTCTTCAATTTTCTGATATACTATTGATGATTTCATTCTTCAGTAATTCGATGTTGATTTAATCAGAATTATACCAATTGATGAGTAATTCACATCAAGCAGAGTAAATTTAAAAAAATGAATCGGGAAACAAATAAAACAAAAAAACAACGATTGGTTACTTCAGTCAATGTGTAATTCATTCAGTTGAATTTATTGATAATTTCATGCGAAATAATAAAGTGAAAAATTGACAGAAAAACTGATTCTCGCATAAATGTTTCTAGAAATTTCATCAAACCGCAACAATATTTAGATAGGTTTCGTATATGTAAGTAGACTTGCCTCCAATCGCCGGTACCTTTTTTTTTTATTAAAAAAAGAGATTCTTACTTTTGTTCACTTTTGAGCGAAGTTTGATTGTATTTATCATTTGTTCATTTTAAATATATATCTAAAATGGTAAAGGAATAAATCCAAATGATTGAAGTCGTTGTTGGTTGTGCGCGGCCGGTATTGCTCATCAATTTCCTTATTAAACAGTTGAAGCTCTGAAAAATCTAGTACCTACAGGAGAAATATATTCCACGATGAAAAGGGCCGGAATACCTCCGTCGCTTCTCTCAATAATCGCCGAACACCTTCTCATTGTTTCAACAATTATGCAGACTTTTTTTCACAAATATTATTGACTAGTTTCATATGATTATGACGAGATTAATTGATTCTCAACATGGTAAAATGTTCTCTCTCATGCTCATTCTGTGGAAACTCGATAATTTTCCTTATTACCCAATTAACACCTTTTCTATCACTACATTTTATTCTTCAACAAGTTATTTCCTTTTTTATACTTATCAATTAATACCCAAATTGCCTATAATTTGTTTTTTTATTGTTTGTTGATGTTTACTTCTCATGGGTCGATGAACGGTGATTTTTTATTACATTAGTGACGATCCCAGGCGACTCAATGGCAGTGGGACATTATTAAAACTCTATCACTTGAAAAAATTAATTATTCAATCAATTCAAAATTACATTCGGTCATTGCAATGAGTTTAACAAATTCAGTTTCACGTATCAAAAATCAATGACTCATTCTCCAAATTTTCCCCGTACAAGTCATCAATGGTGTGCCCTTAAAGCTATGGTACAAATCCCATTGACCTTAAGCCTTCGATTTTAGTTTATTAACGAGGGTTTTCTTTTTTGCTATGACTAATTCTGAAGGAAAATTCTAGTGCTTCACTTTTTTACCCATCATTCTATTAAATTCTTGTCTGGATTCTAATAAATTGGTGTTTTATCAGTTCGAGTTAATGATCAGTCTATTTATGATTAATGATTACATATTCCTGTACCACACGACAATTTTCCAGTCTAGAGTTCATGATAGAAATAGATTAGTAAGAGATGTCTGTTCGAGATGGAATAAGGAGATGAACTGAAAGAGAAACCAAGTGGTAACTAACACCTTTGAAATTTCACTGGAGGAATGTCATTATCTTCGGCTCCGTTTTCATAACTAAGGTTGAGAATTCCACGTCCTCCTCTCATTGTTACCACAACATTCGAATGTAACTCTGATTAGAGTGCGAAATTGAAAACATGTACTGTCAAGTAATATTTTCGATGAGTTCTCTTCATCTCCATCATTTTGATTTTGATGTTTATCAAAGTTATTCGGTTGACATTTTTTCCTTAGAACTTGTTTAGCATATGAGGTATTCTATGTTAAATGAGTCAACCGCTGACCCTCACTCTCTTGGAAATTGATCTCGATTTTTTCTACGATTGGAGAACTATAAGAACTATCTCTCAATTTTTTCAGATTTTTTCAAAAGCCCATTTCGGAGATATGATGTTTTCCTTGTTTTTTCTTTTTTTTTTTCAATAACTCCAGTTCTATTCATCTGATTTTGATTCATGACACGTCAAAATTTTCGATTTTCTACCATCTATAAGAATATTTTGAGTAATTTTTTTTCATCCCCTACGTGCATATAATACCGAATTTTCGAAAAAAAAGTTGAAAAACCTGAATTTTCCAAATTATGTCCCATTTTATTCGTCTCGTCTTTTTTCAGTAACTCCTGTGCCTATTACATACATATTTTGAGCCATCATACAAGTTGGTTTTGGTCCTAGATCTATTTTATTTCCAATTTTTTCTTCTCGAAATTCCACGAAATTAGTTAAAATACCCCAAAATGACGTTGATTGACTTTAATTATAAACAGTATTAAGTGAATTAAGGGTATATTTATATGTTACATATTTTTTTCACATACATAATCGAAGTCGTTTTGGGGTGTTTTGACCAAATTCGCAGAATTTTGAGAAGAACAAAAAAAAATAAGATGGATTCAGGACGAAATCCAACTTGTATGATGGCTCGAAATACTTGCTTTGATTACAAGAATTACTGAAAAAAAGATGAGAAAAACAAAAGGTGACATAATTTTGAAAATTCAAGTTTATCAATTTTTTTTTTTGAAAATTCGGTATTATGAGCCGTTATAAATTAAAATCGGCAGAATAGAACCCGAGTTATTGAAAAAAAAAACGAAAAAACAAAAAAAATCAGATCGTCGAGATGTGCTGGCGAAAAAATCTGAAAAAAATTGAAAGATAGTTTTTCTAGTCCCCCAGTCGTAGAAAAAATCGAGATCAATTTTCAAAAGGGTGAGGGTCAGCCACTGACTCATTTGGCACGGAATACCTCATATATTTCTAAAGTTTTCCTCCTTGTTCTTAAAATAAAAAAACATTAAATCTGAGTTTCTTTCGATTTGATTTGGAAAACTGAGAATTTCCTGGAGTTTTTCTAGGACAATAGAATTTCTTTGAATCTCCCAGAAAATCTAATGTTCTAGAATTTGTTAAAAAAAATTGTAATTCTTCAATGTTTCGTGGAATTTAAAAAGAAAATTTCTAGAAAATCTTCAGACAATTGTGGAACGTTCTATGGTGCACCTTTGTGTATGCAACTTTGTGCAATAATTTATAGCTTAAGCAATAACGAGGACCTAAAAAAAATTAACAATGAAAATTGAAAATCTCAGCTGAATTCATTTTGTCGTTTTTGCAGAAAAAAAATTCTTTGCGATTGAAGTAAAAATTTTACGTCAGTCACAAGAAAAAATAGGGAATAGTTTTGTTACATATAAAAAGATGAGATATACAGGGCGTACCAAAACCCATCGTATATAACGTGAGGGTAGCTTGGGGAGATTTGGCAACAAAGCGAAAATCCACTGCAAATCACCGTTATTTTGAAATAGAATATTTTGCGTCGAAAACCCCTGTGACACTAGGCGCGAACGATAGTTTTCCGTAATGACTTTCACTTTTGCCAGTTCGGGGAAGTGTCAATCCTAATCCCCGGACTGGGAAAAATGGAAGTCACTACGGAAAATTTGTACTTCCGCTCACTTGGGTTGAATGAACGAAAATGACGGTATCAGTTGGGCATTTAGCGCATAATGATCTAAAAAAAATTGTTTTTCTATCACCATGACCCGCTGAGGAAACCCGTAATAAATTTCACTGCGGCTTAAGAGCCATTTGAGTCCTACATTGTTAAAAATTTTCGTCTGAATTTTCCGTGCCAAATTCCGGAAATTTTTATCGTCTTCAAGGTCCACTGAAATTTTAGGAAATCTTGTCATTGAAAATTCAGAATTTCGTGGAAAAATCAAACAGAACTGTAAATTTCCGTTCCATTTTCCCCTGAAAATGAATTGAAAACCAAAAAATTTCGATAAATATATTCTTAAATTTTCAGGACTGTGACACTGAATGTGATTTAGGGGAAATGAAATCATGAAATTTCTGATTTCTGAATATTCATATTAGATTGGAAATTCAAATAAATGAAGGAATTCTCGTCTTTAAGTTGTTTCAAATTCTGAAATTTTACTGAATTTTATGTGAAACCTGAAATTTCAAAATTTCTTTCCCCCTAAATCGCATTCATTGTCACTGTCCTGAAAATTGGTAGTCGATTGTTCATGAAATTTCATTTTTTTCTAACAGTGTACACGTAATGTGAAGCTGAAAATGAAAGTCAACGTAAAAAATTAATATCTCCTCTCTCATTTAATATTGAGAAGTGAAATTGATTGGAATCGATTGGACATTCAATGTCATCATCCCTCCACCTTAAATGGGAAAGAGGATATTATTTCTCTACTGGGGAAACACGTTTTATTCATTGTCTGTGTTTTTTCTTACTGATAACTCATAAACAAAGCACCGGAGACAAATTTTCATTGGAGTTTTCGCTTCCAAATGACGTGTAAGTTTTGGGAAACCCTGTATAAATTGCAAAGTTTTTTTTAATAGAAATTACTGAAAATCCAACAGGAAAGGCGCGAGCGGTTCCTTTTGCATTTCTCGTTCTTTCATGTCCTTACTTCGCTTCGAAACAGAACAGCTGCTTCAACTATCGAACATTTGTTTCACTAGAAACTCCAAACTACGCAATAAGCTAAAACCTAATATTTTTTCATCATTGGATGGTTCTGCTATGGAATTCTTCCGTTATTGAAAACCATGTCGAGAATAAATATTTTAAGTAGTTATTCCATTGGATCACCGGCATTTTCAAAGATTGTTGCATGAGGACTGCTACTAGCTGGCCACAAAAAACCACCAACACTCCCAGGCGGCAGATAAGAGGCACCACCACCCAATCCAACCTGAAGTTAATCATTTTTCCAAATGGGAGAAATTTTTTCTTGTCAACACTTTTCTGTAATGACTCTGTTTTCCGCATTCTCTTGCATCCCTGTGCGAATAATTAAGCAACAGGCAGGTATTTGGGATTCATGCACGTGCGGAAAAAATAAAGACAAATGTTTAAAAAAATAATGGTCATTTATTGCAGTGAAATAAATAAATTATAGGAACAAATTTGCAGGTACAGACTACATACATTTCTAAATTGTGAGCTAAACTTTGTTTTATCTTTGCAATGGTTTGCAAATACTCAATTTGAAGTGTAGAAAATTAATTATAATTGCGTGAATTAAAATAATTCCCTGAGAATTGTTAAACAATTCAAAAGAAAATGTTCTAATGAGAAAGAAAAATTTCAACTGTATATTTTGAATTTAATGTATTTAATCAATAGATCCTCATTCTATTCCACGATATTGAATTTGAGTATTAAAAATAAAATCAGTCCTCTCAAACTCTAATCTAAATGAATATAACAATATTCTCAAGAAGTTACCTGCTGGCTCCATAGCAGTGTCCTCTCGGCTAATTGACAATCAGCAGCAAGTCGAGAAGGTAAACTCTTCCATCTGTCCTCTTCACGTTCTCTTTCTCTCTCGAAGTCAGAATCGGATGCTTGAGAGAGTGGTGGCAGAATTTGTGTTCGTTGGGCCATTTTGTAACTGTCTTGCCGTGGAACATGTTCGCTACTTCGTCTCGCCGACGACGAACCACTGCTACTCCCACTACCCGACAATCCCGGTAAGGGTGTTGGACTGCCACCACCTCGATGTCTATGATACAGATTTCTCTTTTGTTGTAGCATTCTCTGTTGTACTAACAATTGCAACTGCATATTTGAGTCACCACGTGCTTTGAACTGCTGCTGATTTGGCGATGTTGAACTTGGGCGCAAATGCACGAGGTCGAGGTGCCCACGAGCCTTCCCTGAATCTGAATTTTTTAATTTAACTTTACTAAAAACAAAGAAAACAAACGGAAAATTCAAAATTAAAAAAGAAAACTAAATCAATAGAATTAATAAATTAAATGACACGATATATGTAAGGTAAACAGGCGAATTGCTGGACCGTTAAGGAAAATTCGAGTTTCGTGGCAGTATCTAAAATAAAAAAATCACCGAATTGGCAGAAAAAAAATTATTTTAAGTGAAAATAACAAAAAAAAGAATAATTAAATTAAGAAATAGTTGAATGCATCCGAAACCCCTAATTTCTGGACGACTGGGCCATATTTTTTTTCATTTATTAAATGTTAATGAATAGAAAAAATAATTGATCACATACACAATATACACAAATAATATTATTGAAAGATGAAATAATCAGGAAAATTTTCATTCTATTTATGGAATATTCAATGCAAGTTGAAATCGTCCAGAGACTAATACCCATCCAAAAATTGATCTGTTTACCCTAATTAAATGAGATTTTCTTCCAATGAGCTCAACAACTCGATAAAATTTGATACTCTCATAGCAGGCATGAGGAGAAATTCATAATATTGGCTTGACCGATTTGAAAATGAAAATTTCCGATGATCGGAGAAAGATTTCAATTCAACATGTACTTCAAAAAGTTGAAATGATTCCTGCATGATTTTAAATATCTCTGTAAATATTAATGAATGAGAAAAAAATATTTGGCAGAAAATTTACCTTGAATACTGCGTTGTTTAACGGGCCTATCACCCGTACTAGTCTGTTGACAAAACATCAGTCTTGGTCCTGCATCAGACGCTCTCCTCCCCTGAGCTGTTCTCGCTATTCTAGCTGCAATCGGCGATGGACTTTTTGGTGGTGGTGGAGTGCACGATGGTAAACTACTGGTAAAACATCCAGTAATTGAAAAATCTGGTGGACAACCAGAGTCAAAGCTCGATTCAAATAACTCAGAGGATGAGCTGCCACTGCAGCCAGCCCCAAAGAGTGTGACACGACTCGGTGGATCAATGGGCTCCATCATTGAATCAAAGTGCTGTTGTTGATAATCACTTAGTCGACGATTCACAATTTGACTATCGATTCTTTGGCTTATATCACGATCTAATCCCAGTCGATGTTCTTGGAGCTTAATTTGGGCCTCACGGAGTTCATCACCGCTTGGACCCTCTTCCAGATCACCTTCTGCACTGCAGCAACCCTCGTCAGTTGAAGAAGACGTCGAACTAAAACGCTTGCCACCTCTGTTTGCTTCGTCCCTTCTGGAAATAATGAAGATAAATGTTGGTGGTAAATATTGAAATTAATTTGAATATGTTGCGCTCAATGTCAGTTTTCGAGGCACATTTTCGAGAAAAATAAAATAAAGAAGGGGAAATCACCAGTTTCAGCGATTGTCCGTCAAGCAATAAGTGAAAAAAAAACCAGCTCTGGAGAACAAGAATACATTTTATGAGCCGCTACTCTGGAAGGCTGAAACTGGTGTTTGTTGACTAACTAAATTAACATGTTTTAATTGTATTTACGTGTTATACAACTAGTCATTCATGGTTCTTGGCATATTTTTTTGGTTTAATACTAGCGTAGTAGCAGCAGTATCACCTTATCTACATATTGAATGAAAAAAGAATAAATTTTTCAAAAAGCTAGCATCAACATTCTAATTCCATGTGAAAACAATGGAAACACAGAGCCGCAATATTTCTCTTGTGTCAATGCCATTTTCAGAAAATGCTGTTAGAAAATATGTATACAAGGGAAGAAAAGAACAGAAGGGTTCAATCAGTAATAATATTTTTTTCAAAGACTTGAAAGCAGAAGAAAGCCGGAAGGTAGAGTAATTCAAAGAGAATGTTGAAGAAAATGAAATAACAAGGGAAGCAGGTGTTTTTGAAACGAAGAGTTTACCAAAAACTGAAATTGGGTACAGGCCACCCTTTTTTTCGATCTTCCAATCCCAACCTATCCCGACATTATGTTGATAATCTCCACAACAGCAATGATTAACCATCAACGGCCGATTAAGCTATCGCTGTAAATAAAAATCAGTGTTATGTGATTTTGTTTCATGTGTTGCGTCAATTTCATATGATGTGGTGATGAATTGTTGAATTATGTTTGTTGAGTGATGAGTTTTCATATCTTCAGCCAGGCAGGATTGGAAGCTTCCAGATGCGATGGCAATGATGCAACACTCGTTAAAAAAAATCTGGATATTGAAACTTGAAAAAAATTCAAAGCTCCTATGATCGCAAGTGCCAATGGGATTTATCAGTCATATCTTATGAGAAATTTACCTTGATTTGAATTTATCTTCCTTTCCACGTGATACTGGAGGCCAGGCGGGGTTATTCGATGGGTTACCACTTCGGTGTTGCTTCAGTCTTTCCAATAACAAAAAGTATATGGCAGCATGGTGATCATAGCTGTTATTTTTTAGTGACTGAAAAGTTTAAAATTGAAAAAGTAAGTAAATAATAAATCTTTCATTATCTTATCCATTATATGTGAGAGAGCTTACATCTTTGGTACGTGTAACATCAATGCCTAAACTATGCATAAGCCTGAGAATTTGCTCATTTGGCTCTTGGAGGGCTGATGGAGTTGTGTTCAAAACAGGACATATGGAATCAGCAGTTCCAATCATCCAACGGTGCCTCTTTATTTGAGGAATAGTGTACCGCTTTGCTGGCTCTAGCACCAACATTTTACGTATTAAGCTCTCACAATCTGTAATAAAAATAAATAATTTTAGTGTACACTACAAATCCTATGAGCTTCACAATGAAGGCCTCGGTGCTTTAAATTAACAATTTAAAGTAACCTTTAGTGAAAAGAGTTTTACCTCATTTCTCACGTACCTGTGCTCATGAAATAAGGAATTCTAAATCTACCACTCAGAACTCGATCACGCAGGGACTGCAGAGTCGACCCATCGAACGGCAATGCCCCACACACTAGAACGTAAAGTACCACACCCAGACTCTGTTGAGAGACAGGTGAAAAAAAAATTAATTAACCAGCTCTGTCATTAATTAGATTACAAAGTTTCCGGAAAAAAAGTTCAACGGAGAAAAACCAAGTCATTGGACGAAGTTACCCAAACATTTAAATAACTAATTCTCTAAAAACTCTTGATCAAATTGATTACCTGCACGACACTCTTTTCCTAATAGCGCTTTTCTTGACATGTTTTTTTTCTAACTTATATCCGGCTATGTTTCTTTGAATAGTTTTCAACGAATGTGTAGTTTACAGGCCGAGCCGAAGGAGAGGTCTGTACATACATTCGTCGAAAACGAAATTTATTACCGAGTGCTCTATAATATTTTATATCAAGTCGTTCAGAAGTCGAGTTTTGAGCAGGCTGCGCGAAGCGCAGCGTGCGATAAACTCGACTTATTGCACGGCGTGCCATAAAAATCGTAAATTTTTTGACAATGGAAATGGCCTACACTGTTTTATCAAACAATGAGTTGATAATTTTTTTTTACATCAAGATTGTCCATTTCATTCGATTTTATTCTACTATTAATCGTTATTAAAACGGATGGTTAATTATTTAGAGATTCAAAATATGTAAATTATAAATACCCAAACATCAATTTCAGGACCAGCATAGTGTTTCCCTCTAAAAACTTCAGGTGCTGCATAAGGTGGGCTACCGCACCACGTACTCAGTCTCTCACCGGGTACAAAACGATTGCTAAATCCAAAATCAGCGATTTTAACATTCATTTGGGCATCCAGAAGTAAATTCTCTGCCTTCAGATCACGATGTGCAACACCAGTCGAATGACAGTACTCTACAGCCGAAAGAATTTGGGCGAATGTTGCACGAGCACGGGATTCACCCATTCTTCCGTATCTAGCAATATAATCGAAGATTTCACCTTTGTTTGCGTATTCGCATACCTAAAAGCAGAAATAATTCATTTAATTGAGATTAATCAGCAACTCATTATTCTCCAATTGTTTTTCATTCATGATTGAATTATCTATTAGTTTACCATATATATCATATTTTTCGTTTCCATAACTTGATATAGCTTCACAATATGTGGGTGTTCTAACTGCTTCATTATTTCCACTTCACGGTAAACTTTTTCTAAATTTGTTGAATCCAACTGTGTTTTATCAATTATTTTAATAGCCACCTGAATCAAGAAAACCGAAAAATCAGTATTACAAGTTTTAGTTACTCCTATTTTTCTCGATTAGCCTACTGAGATTCTATCGGAATTTGGAAAGTAATCATTGAATAATAGAGACAGAGAATTCAGGGTGTCCATCTGGAAGTTTCAACAACATTCCCTGACTTTTCTCGGTCAAATTAATGAAATTCCCTGACCATAGAAAACGTTTTTTTTATGAAAGAATATTAAATTTATAGACTCTAAGGTAAAAAGCATAGTAGGACGCTTTAGTGGGGACATAGACATTCCGTTTTGAAGACCGGAAGATGGGGATATTGAAATTCACCTTAGAGGGTGAATTTCAATATCCCATTTCACCTTCAAAATTTTCCTTGGATCATAATTTTCATCCAATTCAGATTTTTTTTTCAATGTTCGTCAGACTTCAACGAATAAAATTGGGTATTCGTTTTCCATTGCATAGAATGGATTGAGAAAAAATGAATCTTTTAGATTTAGTCTGTCTGCTCCACCACTCGATTTTTTAGACATTATGCAAGAACAAACAAAAAAGAATGCATTGAAAGAAACATTTTTTTCATGGGTTATTATCTATAATATATGACGTAAAATGGGTACTTAATTTCATTTTCTAGAGTGTAACGAAAATTGCGGAATACAAAAATATGCAGCAGGTGGAAATTGCGCAATAAAGGAAGTATGGCTAAGGGAGTTTTCAAAGACTTTTAGCGAGGGCTCCCCTTAAGAGGTGATCACTCTGTCAACTTTTCAACAAAATACGTACAGCGAAAAATTTGTCTAGAAAATTAGGATGCTAACATCTCTCTAACGGACCAGGTTGAAAATATCAGTGTTCTTGCAGTTTTTATATTGCTGGAAATGAGTATTTTTCAAATATTTCCACCATCTTGATATTCAAGAATTCCTTTGAAAAGTAGAATGTTGAATTTAGAACTTTCCATAGAAAAACCGCAAAACAGTGGGTTCCCAGTCTCATCACACGGGAAGATGTTAATACCCCACTTTTCTAAGTAAATTTGAAATCAAATTCCAAGAAGTTTTTTGTTAACAGAAGAATTCCCAAAAATTCTAATTTTAAAACTCCAGAAAGTTGTCGCAATTTCCTGACTTTTCCCTGATATTTTCAGACCAATCAAATTCCTTGACAATTCCCGGTTTTCCTGATTTCCCTGACTGCTGGACACCCCGACAACCCATCATAATTCTCCTGGCAGAAACAATGCTAATGAACAGATATAATGGAATCATTGAATAATTATTCCTATCAAGCTTAGACTGATAAGAAAGTATAAATGATTTTGCTGTCCATTTAGAATAAAATTATGAATTATTTTTTCCACCAGTCCCTTTATTTTTAGACTTTAATTGATTTATCGTTTTTACCTCTGTCTTGGTGATCCGATGCCGGGCCAATTTAACAACGGCGAAATTTCCCTTGCCTATTGTACCCTCGATATCGTAAAATCCAACACGAATCTGCTTCTTGCCTTGTCCACCTCCAGCATCCATTTTAAATAGCTGATTGTGTTTTCCCCTTTACACTAAATAGTAGCAAATAGTCTCCTTATTTAACTCTTTTTTTCCACGAATTTGTCTTCAGTTAAATTCCATAGTCCCCTACAAAAAACTAAAAACTTGGATCTTAATTATTTCATCAATTGATCCAAACTATAAGATAATTCTTTAAAAATATTTGGAAAAGTACGGCAGGACGTAGTCGACCCTCTGACAATATCCCTCATAATAAAAACTACCTATTACATTACTCTGTTCGAGAAAATATTCCAAGTAAATGTCAATTTATCGTTCCGTGCGTTGGCAGTCGTTGTAAAATATGACGTTAAATTTTATTGCATGGTAATGCGGAACGAATTATGTACAACTCCAGAGTGATATATCATAGGTGAATGCAAACGTAGCAAACGGGAGATACTGTATAATAATAATAATAATAATAATAATAATAATAATAATAATAATAATAATAATAATAACAAAGTTGCAAATAAAGAAGGATAAGTAGTTAACGAAAGAGAACTCGTGCGCGGCGTGCGTCATTGCTTACGCAGGTCGGAAACCTTTTTCTCACAGATATCGTTCCGTGATTTTTAGCCAGTCTCCAGAGTGGACAATGTTGACGACAATTGACGATTGTTGAAAATTCAGCGGAAATTTTAACCAATATAATTTACTAACGTGATATTAGTTCCCTGATTCATGTACGCAACCATATCCAAGTTTATTATTTAGACTTCAAATGCAAGAAAACCTAATTTGAGCAGGAGATAAATATCTTTTTTTGAATCATTATTGTTAAGGGGAGACTACTCCCTATGAGTGTTAAAAGTCGGAGGCTATTGGAATGAGATTTCTCATACACTGAAGATCGATTATATGTGTTTAAAAACGAATAATTAGTGCATAAACACGAATTGTTTATTGTTCGTTTACCACGCAAACGCTTAAAATGTTAAAAATAGTCCAGTGTAATGTGTAATAACAATTACGAATTAATTTGTTGAATTTCAACTCCTACACAGATAATTTCGTTATTATTTTAATAAAAAATTGCACTATTCATGTAAAATGGCCGGAAAAAATCTTCTGAAAGAATCGAGAATATATTTATAGTATTTTAAGGATAATTTCCCTACCTATTTTACATGAATGGCGCAAATTTTTATATTAAACAAAACGAAACTAGCTGTGTAGGAGTCAAATTTCAAAAAACTAATTCGTAATTGTTATTGTACACATTTTATCAAAAAATTTGAAAAAACCCTCTGTAGCTCAAACATTAGAGGCCCTGGACTATTTTCAACATTTTGAGCATCTGCGGAACAAATAATCAATAAACAATTAATTTTTTTACACTAATTATTCTTTTAGACATACATAATCGATCTTCAATATATGAGAAATCTCACTCCAATATCCCACGACTTTTGAAACTCATAGTAGTCTCCCCTTAATACTGTTATTTTGATGATGAAAAGGCAAAAAGTTGACTATTAATACAGAAAATAATGCTCAGAATTTGTGAAAAGGTTTTAGAGGGAAAGGGTAAAGTGTCAACTGGAATTCAAGTATCGTGCACTCAGCCGGTCGATACAAGGCGAAGGACCTCATAAATGCGTGTTCCTTCACTACCCCTCCAATGTGACTCGAAACTTCCCTTTCTCAACACCTCTGCACCGCCCATGTTGTTCTTCACTCACCCCGTCGAAATTTGAAAAATGTCGAAAAATCCGAAATTTTAATACCTAGTTCAGCGTGAAAAATTCATCATCTCCCCATCCCAAATCATCGTCATGAAATTATTGAAATTTGCAAAAGTGGGGAAATAAGTAAAGCATTTAATGAGAAAGTACTCACCATCGAACCGGTGATGAGAACACAAAGATACTCAAACGTCTTGCTGATCTCAACTAGTTATGATTACTGTAACAATGATATGGAGGAGAAGGGAAAAAAAGAAACCGGACGATGGTTCACCTTGGTGTTGGCAGAACGGGCGTACAATGCCCAACGAGGCTGCAACAAGTCGACACTCTTTTTCATCGGTCTTCTCACAAACCCCTGATTTACCTCAAAATATAAAAAAATAGATGCTCACCCGAATAAAACCTGAAGTCGTCTGCCATCGGTTGCAACTGGACAGACGCAACAGAAATGAAATTCTCAGTCGATCATTGGAAGATGGAAAATCATTCACACCCCAAAACTACACACAATTGGCACTTCATCACTCAATCGAACAGAGAAAGTGATTGATCCCAAGTGAACAACACGACGGTTCGATACCGACTAAAACGTCGGCCATGTTGCAACCCTCAGCTCGTATCCCCACTCCTCCGCCGTCACAAACTCCCCATCTTAGCGAAGGGGAAGAGAGGGGGAAAAAACTCTTCCTCGTAAATCGTTTTTCCCTTCCTCGTTTGCAGCAAAACCCACACATGAAAAGAATCAAAACTCGTGTCTAGTCTACAACTTTGGCACCACCACAATTTGATCGTCACTAAGGCCACCGTTTGGTGTGTGGGAGAATGTGTATGTATTAAATCGTGCGTTATCTTCGACAATTGACGTCAATGTTGGAAAACGTCGGTGGGATTCGTTTAATTGCCGTACGAAACCAATTGCAAATATACCCTTGACTTGACCTGGATGAAAGGAGAATATTAAGGTGAATAGATTTTTTCTTCTAAATTTTTCGTTGCGGCAAGGAAACATTCGGAAATTCTCCACTTTCCACTTATGAGTCATTGGTAGATCAGAGGCAACAAAGACAATTCGGATCTGACATCACGGAATGTTGTTGATGTTTGTTTTAAGCAGCATATTACAGTTAGATAATTGGAGATAAAATGGGAAATTGTGCTTTAATTTTCATCTTGGAGTTAGATGACAACTCCGTTCTCTTATCTCTTCCAATTGACGTCAGTCTTCCTCCGCTGACTCCAGAAGTGCAACTCAGGGCGTCCTCGGATTTTTTAATACGTTCCTCGACATCCATCCTTTTTTTTATTTCTTTGTTTCTATAGTACATTTCGACACTAGCTCATATGTGATTACAGAACTCGCCTTCGACTCATCCTGTAACTTCATATTCGCCAGATAAGTTCCCACGGCCGTGTGTCGAACAATATTTGTTTTCATTAGGCCCGAAAACTGCGATTTAAAATCGTGGTTTATCGGGCCTAGTGATGAAAAATGAATATCTTGGACATAAAAAATTGTTGGAAGAAACGATCCAAACGTCAATTTAGTTCTGTTCATGCCGATACGATTCTATGTAGGGGAGGGTGGGGCAATATGGACATCTGGGTTAAAATGGACAGTAAAATTTTTTCCATAATAAATTTTTTTTTCAAAATTTAAATATTTGAAATTGTTTCATTGGGCAATATGGACACCTGGTAAATCCGTATATGATGGGCTAAAATGGACGTTCAACAAATTTTCAACAATCGAATTTCTAAAAATTGCTTCTTGGCAAAGTCCACAACCGAAAAAATATTCAAGAGTAGGGTAAAATGGACACCTGAAAAAGTCGGTCTTATTCAACTTCTAAACAAGAAAATTTTCAACAGATATTTTCCAACAGAATCGTGTCGGCATCTTTTTATAGAGAGAAATTGGAGTTGGACGAGATATTAACAAATAAACATCAACTCTATTAAATTTTGCATTGAAGTTTGAAATACAAAGTACCTTTACATTTCCTGTTTTACTACTGAAATAACTTTGAAATTATTAATGTTTTTCAATGAACAATTGCATACCTTACAAACTGACCTTCTGTCCATTTGCGAAATTTGTAAGATGGCTACTTTTGTACTTATAAAAGAAACCACCATCAAACAATGGGAGGAGAAGAGGATAAATGAGCGAAGAAAAATTTGGTTTACCACCCCCACGGGAAGTCAAAAATGAATTTTTTTTTAATGTGAAAATCGCAATCATGACTAGAGTTTCAGAAATTGAATAACATTGTTGAAACATAAAAAATTGAGAAAGAAATCAAAGTGCCCATTTTACCCCGTTTTCGCTTTACCTTACAACTCCTACGACGCAGTCTTATGACAATGCGTTCGTTTTTGTAAACTTCAAATGAAGTCGGAACAGTAGATTTGATCCAATTCCACTCATTTAAATCTGGTGGCCATATTGCCCCACCCACCCCTGCATTTGGAAAATTTAGCTCTGCTTGAACAATACTCAATGAAAGTGAATCTATTAATTCTTAAATTTACGGAATTTTTCTAACGTAATTACAATTTGTTTATTTACTCGAAATTTTTCTCTACAATAATAGAGCTTGTGGCTTTCTCAATTTCGAGATGGAGGTCAATATTGTGTAGACTACCTCACTACAACTGATAATGAACCTCAATCCTTGGTTCAAACGTCAGCGTCCTCGGGCACTCGTATAATGAAGGCTTATTAGCGATATTTTTTCTCGGAAGATTTTTCTTTATTAACATTGCGACGCAGTGAGAGGAGTGATTGTCATGAACCTGAAAGTAGAGTTTGATATTTCGATCAATAGGGAACTTGCCTGTAGCTCAGTTCTTTTTAATTCCCCTATTCAGACATTTCTCGTAACATATGGATAGCTAAACGGTGAAAACTATGGAGAAATATTGCTTAGATGTCTTATGATAATTCATTGAAAATCAGTCGTTTTCGAGGCCAATTTTTCGGTCATGATGTCACCAAGTCGGTCAGGTAACGCTTCGTTGATCGAGTGTGAAGACAGTTATCGTCCTCCATTGGCGGAGGCGCACCTCAAGATTGGGTTAGGTCGGCTCGAGCCATTCTGTGATTGATGCGGCACTCGACCGTCCGTGTGACGTCATTAGCGATTTCAAAGCGTTTGATATCTTCAACTTTTAACAATTAACTAATAATTAATGAGCAATGTTTCGAGCGTTTGTGAATGAAGAAGGAATTATTCAGGTCCCAAATTTGAGACTACAAAATTGAAAAAAATTCACGCAGATTCCCTATTGTCCACATTTGGTAGCAGCTGGAATCATCCTGAAACGTTTTTGAAGAGATATTTTTGTTTTTCTGTATGTTTCTACATGTGATTATATTGTGAACACGATCGTCTCAATGTGTTTATTTATTTACAAAAAACTTTTGAAAAATATAAAAAATTGCATTTGTTTAGGATTAACCCTCGATTGGTCACCATATTTTTATTTACTTGTCATTGACTGACAAACCGGAAAAAATCCAAGAAAATTTAACTTTTTCAATTGAAGTGTCGACAAAATTATAGTAGTTTTTAAAACAACATAATTGCCAAAGTTCGTGAAGAAAACAAAATATTTACAACAAATGGATCATTTTTTCTCATTTTAAATGAAATTGCCTGTTACGCGACGTGGCCGGAAACTCGCTCAACGCGACCTGGAAGTGTAGAGTGAATTCGGTAACGCTCGAGCCTAAATAACACGGCAGCGAATCCCCGCGGAGGTGACCAAAAGACTAGGGTTAAATTCAATCATTTTACCCCAAGAAATAGGATTTCAATTTATTTTCAACAATTCATGCATCTTTATGTGACTTGATTCTGATTGGATATTGAGCGAAATTATCACAGACGTTCTTTATTTATTAATTTGGATGAAACAGTTTTTGAGATTTTTGTCTCATGAGCGAAAAGGGCATATCCGTTTCAATCTATCCATAGAAGTTACACTCGGAACGGGGAAGATTTCCGAACCAAGTGATGGGTTCGAAACGTTCAGAGGCAACCTCCAACAAGGGCGGTTCTGTCACACTCCATTTTAGACTTCGAAAATTCGGAACGCTAAGCAAGTAAATACCTACATGTGCGGAATTGGCGTATAGGCGTATCATTTGTACATGCATCCAGTTAATATGCTCTCCCGCTCGAATTTCCCAACTCTTGGGAGGAGTATTGTATTCATGTACATGCTGACATCAATAGAGAAGTAACGTTGTATATAAGTAATAGCCTACAACTTTTTTTTGTGACATTTTTTCGAAACAATGCAATTGCAAACAAGGTATCTCAATCAAAGTATCGCAATTTCTTCATCAAAAAAATTCTTTATTTTTTTCTCCTAGTTTCAGTGAATTTTAAAATTTCAAAAGCTGGTCAAAAGTCAAAATCGACTTGACGGTTTACCGCTTCGCTACTGATTTTATGTTCGAATTCTTTCCTGCATGAGCTATTGAAACAATCTGCAACGTGTACTCATCTTTAGTAGCATCAAATTTACGTAAGTAATCTTATTTTTTACGTACTAGAAGAACAGCGTTAGCTTTTTGAACCTTAAGGATTGACATGTCAATCAAGTATTTCTCTTGACAATGAAAATAATTGTTATAACGTTTGCATTATTAATTTATAGCGCCTGTGTATTTAAGGATATCCAAGTACTTCGTTCAAATTGGCAACTTTTTTTCAAGCAAGATTTCAGTTTTGTCGAAAATCTTGCCGTCCCCATACTTTTTCGGATTTTTCATTATTGAATACATTATTTCGGGAATTTCTTCAATGAATATTGTGAACAATATTTTATTCAATTTCATACTTGACTCTCGTTGGTCTAACCTCTAATGATCGTACGGCAACACTGCACATGTGTTGTATATAACCTCGTAAATTCGGTCCGAGTAGTCACTTGAGCGGACTGTTGCCAGACGTTAGGAACGCACGGATTCAAACCACCCAATATGGCCGTCGTACCAATCAAGAAGCTTTTAATTTGATTGTTTGCAATTATCTGTCCGGAAACTTATATTTTTTAATGTCGCAAAAAAAAACTAGAGAGGTTAACGAACAAAGTCATATACGGTTATGTGTACGAGAAAACGCTTTAAGACTATGAACTATTGGATTGAAGGTGGGAGTATACAGCTCTTATGGACGCAATGTGTTAAATTTCATTCTTTCAAAAATCGTTTTCTCGAAAATATGTTCGGAAACTAAAGTTTATATTGCGCCTAAAAAATACTCTTGGTCTAGTCTATAAACTCTGAAGGGGATTTCCCCCAGAAAAAATTGCCTGAACTACTTGGATATCCTTAATTTTCCAGTTATGAAAACCACTCGGTTATATTTTCGTTAGTTGAGAGCAAATGACGATTCACTTGCGTCATTATTGACGGAATCGCTAAAGTTTGCATATTATCATACATCTTTTCAAAAGTAAACATAAAAGAACGGTTAGGAGGAAAGAAGGTGGCTAAAATGAATTTAGGGGAGGGTGGGGCAATATGGACACCAGATTTAAATCATGAATTGAATAGGATCAAATCTACTCTTCCGACTTCATTTGAAGTTTATAAAAACGACCACATTGTCATAAAATTGCGTTATCTGAATTGTAAGGTAAAGCAAAAACGGGGTAAAATGGACACTTCGAGTTTTTCCTCGATTTTTTATGTTTCAACAATGTTATTCAATTTCTGAAACTCTATAGTCATGACTGCGATTTTCATATTGGGAAAAAACTCATTTTTGATTTTTATCGTGGGGGGGTGGTAAACCAAATTTTTCTTTAGTCATTTATCCTCCCCTCCCCCCATTGTTTTATGGTGATTTCTTTTGTAAGTAGAAAAGTAGCCATCTTACAAAATCCGCAAATGGACAAAAGGTCAGTTGTGTAGGGTGTGCAATTGTTAAAAAAAAAAAAAAAATTTCGAAGTTATTTCAACAGTAAAACAGGAAATCCAAAGCTACTCTATATTTGAAACTTCAGTGCAAAATTTAAAATGAGATAAACTTTTTCGGGTGTCCATTTTACCTCACTCTTGAATATTTTTTCGATTGTGGACTGTGCCAAGAAGCAATTTTGGAACCAAAAATTGGTTGTGTTGTGTGTGTGAGTGCCCGTGCGCCTAAGAGTCTAGGTGGTGTTTTCTTATTTAGCAAGCCCAATTTTGAAAAATTCGATTATTGAAAATTTTTTGAACGTCCATTTTAATCTATCCTATGCGGATTTATCAGGTGTCCACATTGACCAATGAAATAATGTTCAAAAATTTGAATTTTGAAAAAAAATTGTTTTTCGCACGTTTTTGTTATTTTGGGAAACGGTCCTTATGTACAGCGCCATTTATCAGAATTATAGAAAATTCTAGACATTTCGAGGTAATTTGCGAAGTTTCTTGAAATTTCGAAAAAATTCAAGGAGTTTCTAGAAATTTCGAGAAAATTCAAGAAGTTTCTAGAAAATTCGAGAGAATTCAAGGAGTTTCAAAAAAAATTCGAGAGAATTTTCTAGGAAATTCGAGGAAGAAGGAAAGAATGGACGTATCTACGTACAATTACAGCTGTATCTTCGATACAGCTGACTCCAATTTTTGAGTCTCTATATTGCCCTACGCTCCCCTATGTAGCGTTGCAAGATTGACAATAAATTCGGTTGAAAAAATTGATAATTGAAGAATTACAATACTGCGCGAGTAATTTGTTAATTCTATGGCAGAAGTATGATTACTATGAATTTGAGAAGGTACGAAAATTGGATATAATTTGGTCTTCAAAAGGGTGAGTTTCCAGATATGGCGATGAACGAGAATTAACAAGCTTTTCGAGTGTTTCATCGGAGAGAAGTCGGAGCAATACAAGTGAGAATACACGTGGATGTGTCGAAGAGAGAGGGAAACTTAAGATGGGATAGGTTGTGGGGGTGCGATAGCGGCAAGAACTCACGGCCCTGCTTGACGTCATTGTATGACGTCAATCCTCAGTGTTCACTCTGTCGACCCACTCCGCCTCCACAATCTTTCGATTAATACTTTTTTTTCCTGTCCATATCTCTCTTCTATCTCTCTATTGTCCCGCTCTTAAAATTCTATCACGCTAAATGGGCAATGTGTGATGAGCTCCCCTGCGCTCCAAAAATGATATCAAAAAGAATAAAAAAGAATAAACTTTAACATCTCTTGGCGATTGTATGGATCCATACGTAATGCCTGACGTCGGATTATAATGCCCAATTCAAGGCCAAATTCATCGTATTTTAGCTCCATTGTCAATTATCTATTAATGACATATCAGATTGAGCATTTCTAAATCCTGCGATAATCATACTTCCACTTTTTCAAAATTTCGTTCATTTCCATATTTTTTAAAATTTCCTTCAGAATTGAAAACAAACGTTGAAGGATAATTATAAATTCATCATGATAATTTTTTCAGTCACAATCTATTCTTCACTTTCGAACGTTTTACAATGGAACTGTTATGGTTTTTAGAGAACTATTTTATTATATGTAAAAAAAATGAAGTCAATAGCCGGCAAATCATTTCGAAATAACTCTTAGTCTGTTCGCCATGAATTAAATGCCCCAAAAATAAACTAGGGAAATGGCAATAAAATAACCAATTCAGTCCAATAAGAAATGGATTAGATCTACTCCTAAGTATTGAAAACAATAAATCTCTATTCGTCTATCATTGTAGCCGAATAGATACCCATGATACCCCTCATGCACAGTAAAAACGAATGTCTGAATTCCACACACCTTTTGTACACATTTTTTAGACACTAAAAAACATCTGAATAAAATGAAAATTGGTCTGAATTTCAAACATGAATTAATATGTTTAGGCACCTGTTCGTTTGAAATTCAGACAAATTTTCTTTTTTTTCAGACGTTTTTTAGTGTCTGAAAAATGTCTACAAAAAATGTGTGAAATTCAAACATTTGTTTTTGCTTTAAGTGGATACGTCGGTGAAATTTATACTAAAAGTCTTTACTGGGCCTTGCTGGGAGCCATTGAACAGTTTGTGATATATGACAGAATATGGGAACAACTAGGGAAAATCACGGCCCCGGTCGATTTTGCCCCGTAGAACCACGAAAAACTTAGTTGTTTCCTGTTGTTACCTTCAAAATGCACCTTGCGACGTAGTTTTCATTCTACTTTTGTTTTTTTTTAATGTTCGTTACACTCCAAACAATAAAGTTAAGCATCCGTTTTACTTTATTCTCAGTAGATCATGAATAAATGAATTTTGAATTTCATAAATTTTCTTTTGAACCCGCCTTTTCGCTTCAAACTACCATTTTTTTTTGTTCACAAAAATTAGATTACGCATGATTACAATGTTCAATTACTAAAAATAATTAATTTTTATTTCTACTTTAAAAACGCGAAAAATTTATGAAATTCAAAATTCATTTATTCATGATCTATTGCGAATAAAGTAAAACGGATGCTTAATTTTATTCTTTGGAGTGTACCGAACATTGAGAAAAAAAACGCTAAAATCGTATGAATCGTATGTACAGCAGCAAAAAATGAAATTTTTCGTGGTTATAGGGGGCAAATCGATCGGGTCTGTGATTTTCCCTAGTTATTCCCATATTCCGTCATATATCACAAACTGTTCGACGAGTCCCAAAGCCCAGTGAAGACAAATTTATCGACATATCTCCTTCAGCCCCCCCGCTCCGGCGCCCCAAAAAAAAGGACACATTATAAGAACAGTTCGCTAGCCAATTCATCTATCAGCAAGACATCTTGTTCTTGCCATTAACAATCGAAGAATAAGACCATGTCATGTGATTTGGATTGGAGAACCACCTCTCCTTCACTCTCCTTCCCCACACCAAGATTTCATAACCCAACCCATACAAGAACAACAGCTTGTCTAACCGTTGAAACATGTGATTGATCTGCAATACCTGACGTTATTTCTCCGAACCTATGTCGTATTCTGTATCTCAGCCGTATAACAGCCGATGCGAGTAAAATAAGAACAGTAAGATTGATATTTTTCATTCAACTTTGCAACTCATTCAAACCGTTGGAAGGTCGTTTTTTCATTGTATTTAACGGTAGAAACAATAGACGAAATAAAATTTGATTAAATATTTATTTTTATTTTTTTGCAAGTATTCAGGAAGAATTCTCTACTCTCGATAGAATATGCTGGAAATTCCGAGAAAAGAGTGTGAATTGTGATTACTCAAGACAAGAAAATTGTACATTTTCATTGTATAATTCTTATCTCTCCAATGATTTGGGTTAAATATTTTTTATCTTAACTCATACTCGTATGAAATGAGAATGCACTTTATCCATTCAAACATGTTAAAGTGAACAAAGCGGTTGAAGGTTTGAATGAAGTAGAGGTAGCAGCAAAATAAGAAATATTCAAAGAATGAAAAAAACAGCTGTATTGTCTAGCGATAAGGTTGGACATTTGTCGACCTGTCAACGATTATTCTATGAGATTTATGGTCATACTGATACAACGAAAAACTATGTTCTGAAAGAACGATTCTCAAAGTCAGTTCCAAGGTGTAACAATCCTCTGTTTTAGTGAACGTTTCTATTCCCAGGATCTCAGGTAATCCTTCAGGATTTTCGAATAACCTCACGAGAGAGGATATGGATCAGAATATTCATAATATTGAAGAGAAATGTCAATTTCTCATAGCAAGTAAATTTTTAGACGCCTATAGGGGCGGATGGGGCAGTATGGACACCAGATTTAAATAATAGGATGAATTGGATTAAATCTACTATTCCAACTCCATTCGACGTCTATTCAGGAAAAGAAACGATTGTCATAAAACTGCGTCGTAGGAGTTGTAAGGTAAAGCAAAAACGGGGTAAAATGGACACTTCGATTTCTTCCTCAATTTTTTATGTTTCAATAATCTTATTCAGTCTCTGAAACACGAGTCATGACTGCGATTTTCAAGTTGGAAAAAAAATCATTTTTGACTTTTATCGTAGACGATGGTAAACCAAATTTTTCGCTGCTCATTTATCCTCCCCTCCTCCCATTGTTTTATGGTGATTTTCTTTGTAAGTAGAAAAGTAGCCATCTTACAAATTTCGCAACTGGACAAAAGGTCAGTTGTGTAGAATGTGCAATTGTTCATTGAAAAAAATAAATAATTTCAAAGTGATTTCAATATTAAACCAAGAAATCCAAAGCTACTCTATATTAAAAACTACAATGAAAAATTTAATACAGTTGAAGTTTATTTATTAATATCTCTTGCAACTATAATTTCTGTAAAATGTTTGTCGAAAATTTTCTTGATTAAAAGTTGAATAGCATCAAATTTTTCGGGTGTCCATTTTACTCCACTCTTGAATAATTTTTCGGTTGTGGACATTGCCAAGAAGCAATTTAAAAAAATTCCATTATTGAAAATTTTGTGAGCGCCCATTTTAGTCTATCCTATGTGGATTTACAAGATGTCCATATTGCCCAATGAAACAATTTTCAATAATTGAATTTTGAAAAAACAAATTTTTGTCGCACAATTTTTTGAGTGTCGATTTTACCCCAGATGTCCACATTGCTCCCTCCTCCCCTGTTACTAATGTGAAAACAAGTCAATGATATTAACTATTCCGTAAATAATTGTCAATGCAATCAATTGAAAAACTTAAACATCGGTAGGAGTTTGTTTCCATTTCGAATATTTCGAAGTGAGAAATTTAATTTGAACATCAGATGAAATTCGTCATATTTTTGAATATAAACATGTGATCAAATATGAGTTTAGAAATGGCTCATGTACATACAAATTCCTTAAATATCTCTAGTCCAGCTGCACTATTAGATAAACGAAAAGACTGAGTGAGAAAGATATAGATGATAATTTTGTCTACTTGTGTTAGATTACAATTCCGCTCATTGCCAGCATCACAAGTTCGTCAGAAGCAATAATGATGAACGAATTATTACCATACTTCGCATCGGGTATCATCGTCAAGGGTTTTGGTCGAGGTTCTAAGGCGCTCGGTATACCAACAGGTGAATTTTTTAATGGAAATACATTTATGAGTGCTGAGGAAAAAATTTGTTCTGTTCAAGTAGTGGTGTAAGAAAAAGAAACAAACGACTAATGCGGTTGAATTTCATTAGCATTTTCAATGTTTTCATTTCATTCAATAGCCAATTATCCGGAAACTGTGATTGAGAAGCTACCAAAGGAGTTTGATAATGGAATTTATTACGGATGGGCTCAACTTGAAGGAGAAGTTTATAAAATGGTTATGTGTGTGGGATGGAATCCATTCTACAAAAATGAAAAAAAATCGATGGTAACATGTATTTCTAGTCAGTGAACAAATTCATTACCATATTCGTCATTGAAGGTTGCATTCTTTATCAACTAATGAATTCATTCTGTCTCATCATTGATAATGCGTAGTGATTATTCTTATTATTACACAATAATAATCGGATAAAATTTTTCATCGACGATTTGAATTTTTTGCTATTTTTTTATGTATTCTATGAAAATGTGAGGATAGAAATTGAATTTATGGGTATTGGTTCATTATTCTAAAAAATAGATTAATTTTAAAATTCTCCCTAGAAATTGAAAAAATGAGAATTCTGTTTTCGTGTTGATCTCGTTTCTCTTCCTCCTCTCACTTTCTTCCATCAGAATTAGATAATAGAAAAAAATACATTGGTTTTTCTTCATTATTAAAAAAAAACGTTTTGAAATTTTCAAGATTGAAAAATCGATTTTTTAAATTCATTACTGTTTTTCCTTCCCTACATTTTCCGTATTTCCTGTTTCTGTGAATGGAATACGATCACAAAAATTAAAAATGTTAATCTCCCTTCATTTCTTAAAAGAAAAAAACCATTTGAAAAATTTCGAAAAGACAGAAAAATAGATTTTTTCATTTTATTGATACTGATTGATGATGATCGATCTCTCTTTGAAATTTCCTTCTTCGGTTTCATTGAGATGAGATTAAAGGGATATAAAGGGATATAAATAATGTTCATATTCGTTCACATTTTCGGATCATTCACGTATGAAAAAATCCTATAGACGTGTTGGTACTAATTAATTTAAAGAAAAAGAAAGAAATGAAAAATTTTAGGTATGATTACCGAAAATTGTTTGTCGATCTGTATTCTCACATGATTTATGAGGAATTCCGCTGCATTCAATGTTGTGACTTGTGAATTAAGGAACAAAAATATATATAATAACAATAAGAATGAATAAAATTAAATTAATCCAATTTAGGCGCGAAGCGCCCGTTCGCTAGTGAAATAATTAATGTCATTCATATGAATTCACTGCTTTTTTCACTACAATTTTTTATTGACAAGTTCATCACTTTAAAGTAGTATGAGTAATTTGCAGGGAGTGGTTGACTGTTACGAGAAAAAATAAATTCAAAAAGCCAAAAAAAACTAACCAATTCATCATTGGTCATTTTTCCCGTGAATTCTAACTTTGATGAGTGTAAGAAATTGATCCATCAAAATCTTTTTTTAATTGTTGTTTTAAACAACAGACTCTCGTTTGAGTAGGGTGTTTCAACACGCCGGTTCGGGCACGCAGGAACATAAATTATTTATCACAAAAGTTTGACACTGACGGTAATGTCCATATTGGGCATAGAATTTTTATTTATTTTTTCTGATTATTTGAGATTTTTCTAGCTTTTAATCTTCTTTCTGACCTCGAACAGGTCATTTTCTCATAAGACTGCCTTATTTTTGCATTTCCAGAGTAATTATTATCAATAATACTAGACTGCCGATTGAGCGCAAACTCAACCAGAATGTTTTTATTCATATTAATATTATTTTAGAATTCAGTAGTGAAGCGGTAAACCGAGTTAAGTCGATTTTGACTATTAGCCAGTTTTTGCTGAATATCTCAGAATCTAAGAGAGATAGCAAAATTTTTCTCATGACTTTTTTTATAACGCTCTATTAGCTCTACAAAAAAGGTCATGACAAAAATCTTTCTATCTCTTTTAGGTTCCGAGATATTCGTCAAAAACTAGCCAATAGTAAAAAACGACTTAACCCGGTTTACCGCTTCGCTACTGAATTTATCTCAGATTTTAATCTTCAAGATTCAAGTTGTGTTTATACTACTTTAAGATTCAGTTCTTCTGGAACAAAAATGACAATGTTTGATTACATTTTTACATTATAATTGAGCAAATTCATCAATAATTCACAAATCCAACTGTTATCCGAGAAAAATCATGTTCTGTACAAGTAGAAAATTAATTGTTGTAATTAAATTTTTACAGGAAGTTCATATGCTTCATAAATTCAATCAAGATCTGCATGGCAAGGAGCTCAAGGTAATTGTTACTGGTTTCATAAGGCCAGAAAGGGACTTTCCGTCTGTTGGTGCGTTCTAATGAGGCATTAAAATTAGGATGACATTTTCAATAACCATTATAATAACAGGTAAACATTCATTTGTTTTCTCCATTTTTTTCAGAGGCACTCATTGCAGAGATAAAAAATGATATTGCATGTGCGGAAAAATATCTTGATGAACCAAAGATGATTGAGTACAAAACTCATCAATTTTTCAAGTGTGAAAAAACGTGATTGATATCCTGATCAAGGAGCTGGTTATTTCATCATCGCCTCATCGCGTTGGGAGAGTGCTCTGTGAAATTGTATACTTTTATTATGGTAAAAATTTATAAATTAAACTAATGATGAAAATAAAGTCATCAAATATAATTCACATGTAAATCATTATATTTTTATCCGATGCTGCTTTCCTGAAATAAAGAATCTACGTGATCACCATATGGTGGAGCGTTATCGTTCTGTAAATCAGTCAATCTGCAAAGATACGTTATGCTTTTGAGGTTTCCCGTAATCCATTCACTATGAAATAATAGATACAATGATTATGGTTTTCCAGAAAGAAATTAAAAAGCAAGGTTTTTTTTGTATTTTTATAATAGTTTTTCAAAATTTTTTCCAGAATTTCTTTCTCTATTTCAAACATCATTCAATGCCTATTGATTGGATGGGTTAGATTGCTAAATACTGGATGAATTTTGCTCTACAAAATTTCAAAGAATTCAACTAATGAACAAAGTAGAGTATGTATTTTGGCTCATATTAATTTTTTAATTCGTAATTAAAACATACATAGATTGAATTCTACCATAGATTGAGGCTTGAGATTTTTATGTAACAGAGGTGTAACTGTAATTTTTTTTGTTTTTTTTTGGAAAATTACATTTTTCCGGTGCTTCATTTTCGTACTAGAAAAATATCAATCATCAAACAGGGATGTGATTGAGACTTTCAAGGCAATAAGTAAAAAACTATTCAACCAATAAATTTAAATATATACACCGTTATTACACATTCTTTTCCCTTGATAATAAAAAAAATCATTAAACACTGGGTGGCGGAGGTGGGGGTGGAGGTGGTGGAATGTTCCACAAGTTAGCGTGCTGTGTTGTTTGTTGCCAAGAGAAATTTATTCCATGCTGTTGAGCAGGGGTCGAGATACTCTGGAATGCCTGAGGAGAAAAGTGCGACCGTGGTTGAGGCCCGAATGGTCTGGGCCAGTTTTGGTAGACAGATTGTGGTGACCAACTCAATTGAGAGTAGTCCATTGGGGGTCTCCATGAGGGTTGCTGGTATGAAAAATTGTCATTGGGTCCTCTTGGCCTTGAATAATTTTGGTATTGATTCTTTCTGTTGCTGTTCCATGGATGTTCAGATCTCCAACCAGTTTTTGGAGCTGTTAATATTAATTTTTCAAATTAACTTTCATGCTTTCAGTAGCGATGCGGTAAAACGGTTGAAGTCGATTTTGACTATTTGCCAGTGTTCAATGAATATCTCAGAATTTAAGGGAGATGGCAAGATTTTTGACTTGACCTTTTCCATAGCACTCCATTCGTTCTACAAAAAAGGTCATTAGAAAAATTTCGTTATTTCCCTCAGATTCGAAGATATTCCTCAAAAACTCAGATGAGAGCTAAGTCGACTTGGACTTAGTCGTTTTACCGCTTCGCTACTAATTTTCCTCCAATTAACGATAGTAGAATTAATATAGATTTCCATAGAGATACTTTAATAACGGCACTGCATTTTCTTGACAAAATGACCTATAACTCACAATGGGGTTCCTTTACTTTTTGGCCCATCTAATGTTTTCCACTAAGACCTTATCTACAGAAATTATAGTTCTCACATTTTAATTAGACCTAATACACATTGAATTCTACTAATTAGATACTATAATTTGAAAATTTGGAATTTAATAAAAACAAAACTGACCAATCCGAATCCAATTTCATGGATTTTGTATTTTTCATGAACTACATATGAACGCACAATAAACTATAAACATTTACAAATTTGAATTGTATAATATGGAATTCAGATTGCTGAATGTGTCATTGGTATGGTACATTTCAATTTAGCAGAATTCCAAAAAGAAAGGACTCCATTGTTTGTGATAGGTCATTTTGCCAAGATGATATTGAATTTTTTTACGAGGGGCTGGTCACTTAGTAAATCACTAGACCACTTGATTGGAAATCAAGGAAAAAGTCACCAGAAATAATTTTTAATTACTTCTGGAAATCATCCGAAATCAATAGAAAGTATAAAGAAATCAGGTGATTTCAGAACAAATTAAAAAACATCGATGAAAGTGAAACGGAAATTTTTTATTCGAGCTCACTCATACGATCCCGTCTGAGCCTCATGAACTTCTTATGCGCATGTCATTTGATTCTTACTATCACGTCCACAAAGCCCTTCCAATCCCTTTGGTTTCCACATCTTAGCCATATGCGATTAACGACAGGTAATCGGCTTTGGCTCAGAAATTATGAGTTTTCGTTTGTCTTCTTGAAATCAAGAAATCACCAGAATCTACCAGAAATCATTCAAGAAATCAGAGGAAATCATCCCATTCTGAAAATCACTGAGCCACCCGGTTGAGGAGAAACCAGCCTCTCGATTTTTTAATCGTGACAAAATGTATTGATACTGTAAACAATGAACCAACTTTTCAACACAACTTTTTACCTGTCTTGGAACGTTTATGTGGAATTTCTGAATTTTTAGGCTTGCTTGCGTCGACTCCATTAGAATTATTTTTTTTCTGCTGCAGCGTTGCATAGTAAGCTTTCTCTTGCTCATCATCTGAGAACTCGGGATGCTCGTCGTCACCCACATCATCGCTTGCCTTCATTCTGGAATAAAAAGAAAAACGAGGAGGAACAAAAAAAGTAGAACATTGTATGTAGACATTGAGGAAAATTGACAAGAACGAGTAATTCGTGGACTCACTTGAGAAGCTCAGACATGAATACCAGCGATGTGTATGGAGTATTTGGACAGAAGTACACTGTCATGCCAACTTTTATGTCCTTAATTTTTATGTGTTCAGCATCGTTGAATCTCACACAATAATGGGGCTCAGATACTTGGCCGAATACGTCAAAAATACGGCCAAGTACACGTTGACCCTTTTCGACGAACAGAACTGTATCTATGTTCAGTGTTGGTTTATGAGGCTTTGGAGATACTACTACTAATTGATCTACCATCCATCCAACCTGAGAAAGCAATTCAAAATCAGTTATTTTTCATTTATCTGGTTATAGACTGGCGAAATTCGCTATGAAATTTACGAAATTAAAAAAGTAAATAACTGATGTTGTTTTCGTGACAAACAATTTACAAATGAAATTATTTCAACTCTTCCTTTAGGCCCGGGTGTATTACCTTTCGAACGTTATCTCAACTGTTCTTCCATCTTCATAATGTAAAATATATAATGGAAATGGCATTACATTACAATTTATTAGAATTAAAAGGCACCCGTATGATTGGTTCCATTACTTTCGGTCCAATTACTATTGGTCTAAAGCAAATTTGTCCAATAGTACAATTCATCCAATAATAAATTAATCTAAAAAAACAAGTCTAATAATAGCTGAGTTCAACAGCACAATTTTGACAAACAGCCGTTTTTATAATAATTTAAGGCCCAGGCGGATTATTTTTCGAATGTTATCTCGATTGTTTTTCCATAAATATATCACAATTTTCATTGGATTTTACATCACGCAAGAGTCCCTAGAAATTATGATTGTACAATAAAAAAAATTGAAAAAAAAATGAACATTTTCAAAGAGCGATAAAGATTGAGAAATAAGTTCGGTAGAAAGGAAATTGTTTATTGTTCGTTTACTCCGCAATCGCTTAAAATGTTGAAAATAGTCCAGGGCCTCCAATTTTTGAGCTACAGAGGTTTTTTTTTTTCAAATTTTTTGAAAAAATGTGTGCAATAATAATTCCGAATTAGTTTTTTGAAATTCAACTCCTACACAGCAAATTTCTTTATTTTTTATAATAAAAAATGCACCATTTATGCAAAATAGCCCAAAAAATGTTTCTGAAAAAATCGAGAATATATTGTTAATATTTTAAGGATAACTTTTCTGCCTATTTTACATGAATGGAGCGCAAATTTGTATGTTGAACAAAACGAAATTAACTGTGTAGGAGTCGAATTAAAAAAAAATAATTCGTAATGGTAATTGGGCACATTTTTTGAAAAATTTTCAAAAAAAAACCTCTGTAGCTCAAAAATTGAAGGCCCTGGACTATTTTTAACATTCTAAACGTCTGCGGTGCAAACGAATAATAAACAATCGATTTTTTTGCACTAATTATTCGCTTTTAGACATATATAATCGATCTTCAATGCATGAGAAATCTTACTCCAATAGCCCACGACTTTAAAAACTCATAGCACTTTTCCCTGAAGGAGTAACAGAAGGCCACCGTTTCCTCGAAATTTTCAAACAAATTTTCTGCTCAAAATTATTAATATGTTTGGTATCTCAAGCACATTGATCTTCATCATCGCCTCCTGGAGATTAATGTGATTTGATTTGTAAAAATATCGATAACTTTCGACAGGAAATTTGTTAAAAAATTGGGAAAATTAAAAGTATTCTGTTAACCATTAAATCGATGATTTTGGTACTTACAGCGCCGAGTGGCTCACACAAGACTTCTGGTACTGAAATCTGCAAATCTTCAATTGGAGGAAGTTCATCGTACTCCCCCTTTTCCTTGTTCCTTTCCATTTTCCTAAAGAATGCAGATTAATCATAGAATTTATTGTCAACAGTTCGATTGATTGTTTGGGGAAAAAGAAATGTTACATGCCTATTCTTCGTTTGTTTGCTATCATTGCTTTTAACGTTCTGTTCATCTTCACCTTCAGACTCCTCGGAAGAACTACTGCAGCTGCTCGAGCTGCTGCTACTACTACTACTGCTACTGGTGGTGGAATCTTCTGAACTGTCCACTTCACTCGAATTATTATCGCGATAATGGCCACTCTTCTCATCCGCTATTGCAGTACTCTCTTCCACTACTTGGCATTCTTCGTCAAATGTTTCTCCATCATCTTCTGAATCTGAGCTACAGTAAGCTATGGCTATTATTCCCAACGAATTGGTGTCCTTAGCCTTCTGATTTCCACTTTGCACTCTGGATCCTCCAGAGGATTTATTAGTTTCATTGCCTTCGAGTTTTCCCTTGGCCTTTCTCTCCACTACTAATGCATCCATCAATTCCGCATTTTTCTTGTTAATATTTTCAAGGTTATCTTCCGAAGCCATTTTAACATTTTCTCGTACGAGTTTTTCTGTGTTTATTCCACTGATGGTAATTGTCACTGCTGTATTAACAGAAGTTGAGCTGTCTATTGATGTTTCTTTGATGATCTCGAACGTCGTTTGATTATAACTGTTTCCCGACCGTGATTCAGTTTTTTCATTATGACTGTCATCTACTTTCTTGCCAGTATCAATAATTATTCCAGTATTGATACTGAAAATTGCCTCACTTTTACTTTCTTCTATTTTTCCCCCTGGAACTTCCATTTGTTAGTGGTTGTTGAAGTAGCTAGGACTTATTACTTATGAGTGTTGTGCAATAAACGTTATAGTCATAAGAATACATGTACGCAAATTAATTAAATCGTTAATAACGTGGAATTTAAGTAACCATACTTTGATAGTTTCATTTTTGCAAACTACTTTGTAGGCTAGGTCCAACCACGTGTGTTCACCTTTCAACATAAACAATGGAGCCAAGTGGAGCTTGTTGCGGGAGGGATTTACCTCCGGAAATGATGCAGTGACCGGATAAGTACTTTTTTCGGCGGCAAGGATAGAATTAAAAAAATTCCGCCAATTTTATGTAGATTTCTTCACACATTATTGAATCCATTTAGACATCGTTTGCAAAATTTGAAAAACCCCAGAAGCAGGGCAGCAGCAAAAAAGATTTTTAAAGTTGCTACTTATACATGAGGTTAAAGGAAGCATCGGTAATTCATGCATTTTTCTTACATTATCGACTAAGCGGCAATGTGGAAAAAATTCTGAAATTATCGATGACCCATTTAACCTCACATATAAGCAGCAACTTTAAAGAACATTTTTGTTGTTGCCCTGCTTATGGGTTTCTCAAATTTTGCAAACGGTGTCTCAATGGATTCAATAATGTGTGAAAAAATCTTCATAAAATTGGCTACATTTTTTCAATAGCCTACTCCTCACGCGATTATCCTTAAGAGGTAATGGTATGTATTGAATTTTAGAATCGTCCCCGTGTCCATAGTGATTAATTTTTGGAAATAAAAAACTTTAGGCACTGAACCATAGAGTAATGGAGTGATTGAAGTTTTTTTAGTTGCAAAAATTAATAACTTTGGACACGAGGACGATTCTACCGTTACCTCGTCAGGATGTTTAACCAGTGTGGGTAAATTGTCGGTAAATGTGTTTTTTTTCATGGTCAAGGAAAATTCTGTAATTTTTTCGGCTGACAGCAGAACATATGAAACTGATTTTTCTAGCGTTAATGAATAAGCTAATTTTTCCTTATACACGGGCTCTTATGAAATTTATATTCAAATTGATAATTCACCTACTAGAAGGCTCTAAAAATAGAAATAAATATAGAAGGTAATGTGTAAAATCATACAGAATCCAATGGGCTGAGAAAAATTTGGGGTACCCATACTTGCGATTTTAGATAAACATCCTTAAAGAATTTTCCATAGGTGTGTTTTGATGATAACTTTATCTTTTAGGAGAAATTGTTATACGTGTAGGAAACACCAGAATTCATTCACTCGTTTGATAAATGACACAAAGGGATTGTTATTATTGATAAAAATATATATTTCGTTATAACCTTGGTCAACAATATCAAAATAACGTTATTGTAAAATTTTTACATATATAATCTTAAGGCCAATCTAGAGAGGCAGTGTCGTATTCTAAAAGTCGGCCTGGTCTTTACGATAACTTACAATAAATTGCTGAGAACAAAAGGAAGCCAAACGAAGAATTGAACAAGGTTGCCCTAAGGTGAAAAATTAACTAAATTTCGTGGATAAACTTGTTCACATAAATCAGCACCTTTTAATCGTTTGTTAAAACATTGATAATAGTTGCGATGATCTTCCTCCCATTTTGATGATTCAAAAGATTAAGTAGAGGATCCTGCATTTTCAGTTCAAGAAGTTTAACAAGTTCTGTCCGCATATTTTGAAGAAGCTGCGCAACAGTATGTGTCTCAACTTTGAAGAGAATCCAACCATCAGCGAGAGACAAGATGAAGGTTCCATTGTGCTGTTCGATGTTAACTCCATATCCAGAAAACAGAACCAGAGGTAGCATTGAGACCATGGAGACGTCTCTGATGTAAACCTTGCTGGTTTTAATTTTCTCTTGGAAGGCGAGATAGGGGCTGGGGAAGTGTCCAATGGAGAAATTTACTGAAGACGGATGGATGAAAACAAGACCGTCATTTTTCGTTTCAAATCTTAACTCTTCAGCTTTAGGCTGCCTGGGAATAGCACCTGAGGACTGAACTTGGAATGACTTTTCTGGAGTGCAAATTCTAACGACATTGGGATAAAGTGCAGCGCACAATAACCCTTGAAGGAGTTTGTAATTTTCATTGTTTGCATTAAGTTCGACTCCAGTGAACTCGAGAACCTTATCAACGCCAGTGGTCCTCTTCTTGGCATCAATAGGGACGAATCCAATTCCAATGAGTAGCTCTAGAAACTGGTGTTTCATATCAGCCAGAGTCTGCAGAGTTCGGACAGATAGATAATTTTCCTTTGCGAAAGTCAAGCCAGCTTTGAATCCCCTGGCAGACATCTCCAGCCATTTTTTATAGGCCTTTAAAGTTGTCAACTGATCACTGAATGCCGTAGTGAATTCTTTCTTCTTAGCGTCAATCTGATGTCGTTTCTCAAAAGGCGAAGAGAAAGGACTCTTGTGAGACAAACAAGCTGCTATTGTCAAAGCTGAATCAAGACAGCAGAAGACTACACCATAAAGGATTAGCTTGCCAATGCGTACATCCACAGGAAGAGTTGCCAAATGATGCCCCAGGGGTGTCAAATTCAATTCTAAATCAATAGCTCCAACATCTTGAAGTCTTACGATTGAATCTGAAATACTTAGTTGCTGTGGAGGGTCCAAAATTCTGTTGAGAATTTCATAAACATTTATATTATTCCCAAGGTTCATTTTCAAAATTTTTAATAACAAAGGTTCCAGGGAAATCCTCAAGATTTCTGGAATGGGTTGGGGGAGTAGGTGATGTTGTAATTTGTGTGATGTATACATGTGTATACAGACACCCGGCCTCACTCTCCCAGCACGACCTTTCCTCTGCATTGCATTTGCACGAGATATCCAGCAAGTATCTAAACTAGCCATGTTCTGATTGCTATTGAATCGAGTCTCCTTCATTCGACCTGTATCCACGACAAACACACAGTCATCGATGGTCACTGAAGTTTCAGCTATATTCGTGCTTAAAACAATTTTTCGAACTCTTGGGTCAACTTTCTCAAAGACTAGATTTTGCTCTTCAGTCGAGAGAGACGAGTGCAGTGGAAGTATCCTGCATCTCCCTGCCCGGGAAGAAAGAACAGAATTGTGGTTGAGGACATCTCTCAAGGTGGTGATTTCTGCCAATCCTGGAAGAAAAACTAAAATAGAGCCCTCTCGAGGATAATCATGATCTCCATCAATAATCCATTCCAAAATCTTCTCCAAAAGGTCGTAATTAATTTTCTCTTGATCCATAACGTAAAGGTTTTTGTATGTTTGCATGGAGAGTCCAGGATACCTTCCGATGAGTTGTGCTAAATTCAGATTGCCATCCAAAAGTGTGTTCCTTGGAGATACGGAAGACAGTGATTCAAGGTCGGCTGATGCCAACCCAATTTCTACTTGGTCCCATCCACCTTTGATTTTTCTAGCATACTCAGAATTCTCTTCGAAAACATAGTTGATTTTTTGGAGAATTTCTTCTAAAAAAAATGGTTTCACCGGAAAAGTCCTTCCAGGGATGTCCAAAATTGGTGGTCCCTTGAAGTAACTGGCAAATAACTCGGCTTTTAAGGTTGCACTCATCAGGATAATTCTCAGATCTGACCTGTAGGGGAGAATTTCTCGAAGGAGCATCAACAGGAAATCTGAATCAGCACTACGCTCGTGTACTTCATCTACGATTACATGGGTTATGGTCTTCAAGTGGGGGTCACTAGATAACCGTTGAAGGAGGATTCCAGTGGTGCAAAAGGTCAAACGAGTCCAAACAGACATCTTGCTCTCCAATGCTATTTGATAGCCAACTGTTTGACCAACTCTTTCATCCCTTTCAGCGGCTACCCTGTCTGCTACTCCTATTGCACTTATTCTTCTTGGTTGAGTGCCTATTATCTCAATGTGCGCTCCACTAACATTTCGATTGATGATCCAGTCGTCCAGAATAAACTGAGGCACTTGGGTACTTTTTCCACAACCAGTTTCTCCGGAGATTATGGTCACTTGATTCTGCTCAATAGCCTCCAGCACTTCAGTCATCATTGACCATGCTGGTAATTTCCTCCTCGATTCTTTCATCTTCAGGTACCGGGAATTTTTCAGCTTCTCCATGAATTTTTGACAAATTATTTCGTCTTGCCGTTGGATCTCTTCCAAGGATATTTTATCCTTATTTGAACGATTTGTTGAGCCTTTTTGGTGATGACTCGCTAGGTTGTTCGAGGTGTCATCTGTACTTTTTGAGAAAAGAGAATCATGTTTGGAGATGAAGCTCGGCTTGGTGTTTTCGAGATAATCCTTCATTTCTTCGGAGTTTTCGAGAATCGAAATTAGTTCAAAAATGCAAGGTTCACCATTTGGAGTTCTGAGGATAGCATCTTCGTAAAGTTTTTTGCAAATGACGAGGCACACTTCACTCGGATAGGACAGATCTGTTTTGTAGAAGTAAAAAAACGGTGCCTCGTACGGATATTTTGAATCTGAAAAGATAAAATAATGTCCAGAGCCAGGGAATTGTCTACAGAAAAAAGATGCTCCACAAACCAATTTTGATCCAATATTTAAGGCGAGAGGGAGCAACAAAAAATTAAGAAGGCAAAAATATTTCGTTTTTCTTAGTATAACTAGCGATTTGCGAAGATTGCTGTAAACTATGTTATTTTATTTTATTTTCTTTCTATTTCCGTCTTCACAATTAAATTAATTTAATTTTATTCAGTCTCATTGCTATTCTATATATTTTTGTTCATTAATTCACAAGTTACAGCATTGAATGAAGAGGAATTCCCCATAAATGACGTGAGAATACAGATCGACAAACAATTTTCGATAATCATACCTAAAATTTTTCATTTCTTTCTTTTTTTTTAATTAATAAGTACCAGTAATCTGAAGAGGTGAACGAATATGAACATTTTACATCCCTATGATCTCATTTCAATGGAACCGATTGTTTATGTCTTCTTAAAAAATGAGGGGAGATTAACATTTTTAATTTCTGTGATTGTATTCCGTTCACAGGAATAGGAAATACGGAAAATGTAGGGAAAGACGACCAGAAATAAATTTTAAAAATCAATTTTTCAATGTTGAAAATTTCAAAACGTTTTTTGTAACAAAGAAGAAAAACCAATGTTTTTTCTTTCTATTATCTAATTCTGATGGAAAAAAGTGAAAAGAGGAAGAGAAACGAGATCAACACAAAAACAGAATTTTTAATTTTCCAATGCCCAGGAAAAATTTTAAAATTGATATATTTTTTCGAATAATGAACCAATACTCATAACTTCAATTCCTATCCTTACATTTTCATAGAATACATAAAAAACTAGCAACAAATTCAAATCGGCCATGAAAAATTTTATCGGGTTATTATTATGTAATAATATTGATAATAAAACTATAAAAATCAACGGAAAATCTTGCTTACCCTCTGGAAATCTGATTTCTAAAGTGAAAGAAGGGTCCGGTTCTACAAATTTCTTAGCGTGTTTCAGAGATTCAGGTTGTTGATGTAAAAATCTGCATTTGGCTCCAAACCTACACTTCCCAGTCAAAAATAATCTGCAAACATGTTTACTTGGTGTCTTTGGTTTACTCTCAACGGCAGCTTCCTTATCATACTTATCAATCAAGTAATCTAACTTAAGGGTAACAGTCCATAATCGATTTTTAATCGTTTGGACAAATGAGTCTCCGTAAATGGCTTCAAGCGCACATTTCTCCTCCTCTCTCACACTCAACAGATCGTTCACATCAAAATCTTGTGCACCACAGATTTTTGAAAGATCATGAACCCTGTAATACTTTTCAAAAAGAATCTCCAAGGCCTTTCCTACGTCACCATCCGTGTGATCAAGGGCTTCAGCACAGTGGAGTGAATAATAACTGTAGCTTTCCAATTTCGACGTTGCAAAGTGTTTAGTTAATTGTGCATGAGTTTTTGGTGCAGCTTCTCTAGATGAATAATCAACAACTCCTCTTATCACAAGATCACCTCGCTCCATCCAATACTGTTTACCTAGATTCGTTCTCTTGTTCTGATAATGTGAGGCATCACTCAATTTGAATGAATCTCCATAAATTTGTTTTAGAGTTTCGTACAATTGTCTTTCGGATTCCTCTGATATTCGAAGAGTTTGAAGTTCTACTTTACAGCGGACTGCAGGTTTTGGTTGATTGTTGACATCTAATTTTGATAATTTTCGTGGAAATTTTGATAAATGCCTAATAATAATAACGATATTAATGTCAGTTAACATGATTTTTTATATATCCATAAATTTTTTTTGTGGTTTTCTTGGTTAGAAATGATACTTACTCCACAGCATCATTGCTGGAGGTGTTAGGTTTTTTTTTTGAGTCCAAGACAATATCATCCATTAATTGTACACTCAAATAATCCATTTTCATTCATTCGTTCATTCGAACAAATTCTTGAAATTTTTCTGTTCTAATCTCTGGTTTTGACTCCACTGTCAAATCTCAAATTACGTGCAATCTGATAGAATACGAGAAGAAAGATAGGTTAGGACTGATTTCCTGTCTCTCTTTTTCGCTCTCTGGCTATACAATAAGTCTGGACGGTTTTCCCAGAGATTATAACAGAGATTATAGGGGAGATGAGCAGGGCCAATGTAAAGTGTTCAACAGGAAAATTCGTAGCGGTGGAGCCTGGACTACGATGGAGCGTACGGAACTATTGTATTGGTATGGTAGGGCCCGAGCATAAATTTGTCGATAACCGGAAAGGGGTTCTCAATACGGTAGCTCCTCGCATTTTGTAATAATTGTCAGGGATGTAAAATCGAACATATTATAATCAATAGTATAATGAATGCAGAATCTAATGATCTAAAAGTCTTTTCCTTTTTCTCGACATATTTATTATTAACACGTAGGTCAAAAAATTCATAGAAAATCCCAGTACTGTCGCTGGAAAACTCTATAATTTTCCAGTGATTCTATTGAATAATTGTGCAGATTTTGTTTTTTTTTACTATGGTAATGTTCGATTATATATATTTTCATTGCTCAAGCCCAAAAAGGGCTCTTTTACCGACGGTAGTTAAGCATGAGAAGTAGGTCTTTTTACCGTTGAGCAGTNTACTTAGGAGTGAAAAAGTGAGAATTGCACTCCTTAGGACTGAAAAACGTGTGGCGCTACCCCAGCGTTAATGTACCAAACTATAAAACTACATATAAAAACTGATAAATTCAGCCAGTGAATCCCCTTC